CTTCAGAAGAGTTGAAGCTGTTCTAGCTACAAAGGGTAAACCAACGTCATATTGAACCCTTTGGATTAGGAATGGGATGTACCTTAAACGCATATGTGAGTCAAGGCAGGTGAGCAAATACTTTTGGCAATATAATGTATTTTGGATTTTGGTGTGGCAACTCAATTTTCGATGGGGACCTTTTCTACGCGTAGATGTAGCCACACACCAAAATRGAAGCTGCCATGATGCTTATTTTTCAAGTTATCTAGCTCACAAGGCAGACAAACAAGAGGGAATTTCTTATTCCCCACTTTTATCCACAATGGTGGAGAAAACTATACTCACTACAGAGCATCTATGACAAAATCTTGACTAAACTRACGATTTATTGGGAACAGTTCAAAGTTTTAGCCTAAAAAAGCCATACATTCAAAATATTTCCAAAGATGGATGCTTCATTATGTTTCATCAGCTGGAAGAGGGGTTTTTACCTGTATTTACTGCAATTCAAATGAAAAAAAAAAAARGACATACATAATTACAAATGACAAAGCTGTTTAAAAAAATCTGAAGAGTACAACTACCCTGTAAGAGTGCATCACTGGGGAGCTTACTGAAGAAATTGTTTTGCTGCTACCAACAGTCAGCTGCAAATTTAAGTGGATCTCCAGTTGTTTGTGCAGCTTAATTTGCTTTGTTTTTGTTAGGAATCTTATTATTGATAAAAGTGGGCAAAACCACAATCCCAGGTTTTTCTACTAGAACTTAACATGCATGTGGGGGGAAAAAAAGAAAAAGACTCAAATGCATTTCCACTCCTCTTTTTTTGGGGGGCTAAAGAAAGACGAGTGGAAATTCTTCCACTGTGCAAATATGACAACGTCATGTCTGTCTCTCTGTCCACAAGAATTTGAAGCTGCAGACGTGCGCTCAAACACAAACTGTTTTTTTTTTTTTTTTTCTGAGCTCAAGGTCGGCTGGATGATGGGTTCTCGCCAAAATGTCGCCTGGAAGTTAAAGAAACACGCAGGGATGAAAAGAAGCCATCTTCAATGGTCAGCACAGTTGAATTGGTGAAAAGAAACATGTGTGCCCAGTCAATATTAGCTCAAACACACACACAGTCAGTGGAATGCCTATAAACTGTTTCCCTTTGAGACACAGATTTGAAAGAAAAGAAGTTAATCACTAAAGTAGGTAACCACTACAACGAAAAATAGACCATCTACTTTATTTATTAAACACTGATTGAACTCGTAGTGATCAGATCGTTCATTATTAAACATTTCTGTCAGGCAACACGCAGAATAACTAAGGGGAAAAAACAGTGTTTAATGAGGAGAAGGGACTTTTAGATGGACAACAGAAAAAAACTTACTGCAAAGACTTTTTCATGCAGATGAAGATGGAGGGTGGAGGAGTGAAACCTCATTTCCTATTCATGAGGTTTCATGGCCTTTTGCTAGTTGTAGCAGGTGTGTGTGTGTGTGTGTGTGTGTGTGTGTGTGTGTGTGTGTGTGTGTGTGTGTGTGTGTGTGTGTG